ATCATGAATGAGTGTTGGACCTTATTAAAAGCCTTTCTGCATCTTTTGAGATGATCATGTGATTCTTATCTTTGGCTCTATTGAATTGGTGTATTACATTTATTGATTTGTCTATCTTGAACCATCCCTGTATTCCTGGGATAAATCCCATTTGGTCATGGTGTATAATCTGCTTGATGACTTGTTTCATTCTGTTTGCCAGTGTTTTATTGAGGATTTTTGCATTATGTTTATTAGAGATATTGGCCTGTAGTTCTCTTTTTTGGTTGGGTCTTTCTCTGGTTTTGGTATTAGGGTAATACATGCTTCTAGGAATGAGTTAGGGAGAATTGCTTTCCTTTCAATTTCATTAAAGAATCTGACAAGTGTTAGCATTAAGTCTTCCTTGAATTTCTTTTAGAATTGAGCTGTGATCCATCAGGACCTGGGCTTTACTTTATTAATAAGGTTTTAATTACATTTTTAATTTCATTAATTGAAATTGGGTTATTCAGCAGATTTACCTGTTCTTGATCCACCTTTGGTAATTCATAGTTTCTAGGAATCTGTCCATTTCTTCTGTGGAAAGGTTTTGAAGTAAATACAGATGATCTTCTATATTTCCACAGGTTCTGTAGTGATTTCACCCTTTTTATTCCTTATTACATGAATTTGAGTTTTTTCTTTCCTTTTATATTAACATTGGCTAAAGGCTTATCAATTTTATTTATTCTAAGAGACAACGTTGATAACCATTGTTGATAACCTTGTACTCTGTTCTACACCATGTGCAATGTCTATCCTTGGTTTTGACTGACAGCTTTGTTTTGCCATATTTGACTGTATTCTCTCCCCCATCCCCAAAGTAATAAGAACTAAGGAGTAATAAAATCCAAAATGTGTAAATTTTGTTGTAAAAAAGAGAGGAAAAAAAAAGAGCTCTAACGGATATAACAGCAAGTGTGTTTAGGGGTGTTAAATAGCTGACTATATCAATGTTTTTGGATCATTGAACACAGCTGTTTGCAGTCTCCCTGTTTGAATGTCCACTTTGTATTCTTTGATACTGTGATTTGAGCAACTATTTTCAAGATGATAATATGTAGTCTATTAACAGGTGATTTCTTACTGTTATGTTTTTTTTTTTTTTTGTAGTTCTGTATTACGTGTACCCTTACACCGCTTTGTTTTGTTTTGTGTTTTTCTCTTTTTCCTCTTAAATAAAAAAAAAAGAACCAGCTCTTTGATTCATTAACTGTTTTTATGTTTTTCTTAGTTTCAGTTGTGTTAATTTTTGCTCTGATCTTTAAAATTTCTTTCTTTCCTCTGGGCCTGGCTTATTCTTACTTCTCTAGATATTTGATATGTAGCATCAGGTTATTTATTTGTGTTCATTCTGTTTTCCTGATGTGGGAATTCACTGTAATAAATTTCCCTTTAAGAATTGCTTTGATTTTATCCCAAGGTTCCAGTAAGTTGTATTTGAATTTTTATTTGCTTGTAGATATTGTTTAGTGTCTTCTTTAATTTCCTCTGTGAGCAATTGATCATTTAGGAGGGTATTATTGAATTTTAATTTCCATATATTTATGGAGTTTCTGTAGTTTCTTTTGTCATTAACTTCCAGTTTCATGTCACTATGATAAGATGATATGCATGGGATAATTTTGATTCTTTTGCATTTACTTAAGCATGTTCTATGGCCTAGTATATGATCTGTTTTAGAGAATGTCCCGTGTGAAGCTGAGAAGATGTTGTTGGGTGGAACACTCTGTACATGTCTACTGAGTCCATATGTTCGCAACTTTTATTCAGTTCTGTTATTTGCTGATTTTTTGTATAGTTAATCTGTCTCCTTGTGGCAATCAGGTGTTAAGGTATCCCATTATAATTGTGTATTACTTATTTGATTTTTCATGTCTATCAATATTTGTTTTTTTATTGCTGGGTGCTCTCATATTTGTTGCATATATATTTAAAATTGTTATCTCTTCCTCTTGAAGTTTTCCCCTAACAAGTATGTAATGACCTTTATCTCTTTTGATCATTCTTGATTTGAAGTTCATGTTGTCTGCAAAGAGAATAGCTACTCCTGCTTTTGAGGGGGTTCTTGATACATGAAGTATTGTTTTCTATTCTTTGACTTTTAGTCTATAAATTTCCTTTGAGGTTATATGGATTTTCTTGTATACAGCATATGGTTGGATGTTGTTTCTTCATCTGTTCTGCCAGTTTGTTTCTTTTAATTGGTGAATTGAACCTATTTACAATAATGGTTATAAGTTATATAATCTGGCTTATTTTTATCATGTTATTTTTCTGTTGTTTGTTCTTTATCTTTCCCCTTTTTTTGGTTGTTTGGCCTGCTTGGTATTTTTTTTCCCATTGGTGTTCTTGAAGTCATAGTTATTTTTCTGTCTATCTAGAATATTTTTCAATATTCATTGTAGGGTTGGTTTGGTGGTCCTGAAGTTCTTCAGCTATTCTTTGTTGTGGAAGTATCTTATTTCCCCATAAGTTTTCATGGACAGTTTTGCAGAGTACATCTGGGTTGGAAGTCATTTTCCTTTAGAATTTGAAATATTTCACTCCATGCTGTTCTTGACTGCTTGTGTTAAGAAGTCTGCTGTTATTCTGATGGGCTTTCCTTTATAGGTGCATTGTTTCTTTTCTCTAACAACTTTTAATATTCTGTTCTCATGTTGAATTTCTGGCATGTTGATTAATATATGTCTAGATTTAGATTTATTTAGGTTATTGCTAATTGGAGTTCTATATGCTTCACTTTCCTGTGTGTCAGTTTCTTTTCCCATGTTTGGGAAATTTTCTGCCATTATTTCTGTAAATAATCTTTTTGTATCATTTGAGTTGTTGCATTTTTCGTTTACACCTACCAATTTTATGTTTTTTTTTCTTTGCATCTTCTTACAACTCTTAAAATGTTATTTCCTGATTCCTTGTTATTTTTTAAAATATTTCTTTTTGTTTCCTCTAGCCTCAATCTAGTCTTTGAGGTCTGAAAGTCTATCTTCACATTCATTGAGGTGGTTTTGCCAGCTTTTGATGGAATTTTTGATTTTCGAACATCTCTTTGAATTTGTTTCATGCATTCTAATTTAATTGTTTCTTATATTGTTCATTCAGGCTTTCGATGATTTTGTGTGCTCTTTTATTTTTTTAAATTATGTCTTATTTACATGTGTTTAGCATTTCTTTCATTACCTTTATCATTTGTTCTTCTACCTGGGAGATTATTTCTGATCTTATTTTCTTTACAGCTTAATGGAATTGTTTCTTTATTTCAGTGGCTATCATTTCAGAAGTTTCAGGTGTGTGACTTATACTTTCTTCTATGTCTATGTCTCCTAGGCTTGTTTGCGATGAGATGGAGGCTTAGGATTACATTTTGCTCTTTCATTTTGTCATTTTCCTGTGTTTGCCTAAGGCAGATGAATGCAAAGTCTCAGTTGCTTCATGGGTGGTGGGTAGTTGTCCATAATGCAGGAGGTTTCCCCAGATAAGTGGTTGTCACTAGGTAGGCCTTATCAGGTCCCTGGTGGCACTCAGAGGCTCCCAGAATCAGTGGAGTATGTTTGGGGGGCCTTCACCACTCCCTGGAACACCGAGGCTCCTCAGCTAATTGGTCTTGCTGGATTGGGCCCTACCAGGTCCCAAGTGGACTCCAAGGATGTACAGCTAGTTGGAGTATGCTGTGCAGACCTTCAGCTCACACCACATGGAGCATCAAAGCTCCCCAGCTCTATAATAAATTTTTAAACATTAAACATATTCTGTATTTTTCTGTCACACCTCATATTAATTTAATCACATGTCAGGTAAGGTTGAGGCTACATTAGCACCCTCAGCTACCTTCACAAATGCATACTGTGTGTCTATCATGCTTACCCAAGCCAGCAGATGGACCTCAGTGGTCCCATCTCCAAGTCCAGACAGACACTTTTTCTTTAGACAATTGCATAGACCTGGACCACAGCTGTGCAGCATACCAAGGCTCAGACAGAATGGAGAAAGAGAGCAGATGTTCCTCACCTTTTAGAACAGTGACCCTGTCTGCCTGGAAGATGCAGAAGTAAGCGCATCATTTGTCTGCCACAGAGAAGGTTGTGCTGAAGGCCTAGAGAGGTGTGATATCCACTTCAGGGTATTCTCCTTGATAAGAAAGGTCAGAAGGCCCCTGTGTTGGTCCTTAGGTCCAAGCCAAAAAAAAAAAAGTTTTAAAAGTTTCATTCTGTGGGTCCAGGAGCAATTCCTGTCACCTAGGAATGGTAGTGAGAGACAGGAAACAGGTAAATATACCTTCCTCTATCTCATGTTGATAGCTATGTGCCTCACCTGTGGATGGTCCCTGGTGAGTAGTAAGCAGCATTCTCTTCTCTCTTCACACTGTGTTGTATGATGAGCTTCTCGAGGAACTTGCTGGATCCAAATGATCTTTGCAGAATGCTTGCTGAATGGAGTCAGTCAGTTTTATTACTGTGACCTCAGCATGGTTAACACGAGGCTTGTTTACTTTAAAAGAAGTAGCATTACAGAACTCTTCAAATGACTTGTGAATTCATAGCCTGATTCCCGACATGTTCAGGGAGGACTAAGCCAGGTGCAGTGTGCTGGGACAAGGGTGCAAACTTCCACTTCCTAGTGCTGCCCAATATATCACCACTGCCTGCAAGCTCTGTCCTCAACACCCCTCTGCCCTGGAAAGGGGTGGCATCTTCTTGGCTCTCAGGTAAACTTTGTTAAACATATTCACCAAATCCTCTTGCTTGGCTTTGCAATTGTTGGATAGTTTATGGCTTTTTAGGATAATGATATAATACAGATACAATTTGTGATATCACCTTCTCTATACTATGTGGGGTCCTTAAGTTTGACTCTCATGGAAAATGTGGAAAAATATTAAGGTATTTCAGTATCTTTAAAAAGTTACATATATGCATATAATGTATATTTTTGGACATGGAGTAACATGACACTTGATGTGTGTTGTGTTTTTATTTTAGGTAGAAGAAATAATCACAGGTAGCCGGCAAACAGCCAAGTCTGTGAAGCCCATGTTGGATGGCAACAGAGAACAGATGCGTACCAGGTACCACCTCTCAGGCTGCCCTGAGCTTTGTCACCTTGCCCTCTACATTGCCCCTTGATGGCCAGAATATAGGTCCTGAAATGTTGTTTAAAGTTTAAAATGACTCACGCCATACCTGTTCATGTCTATATCCAAATCCTTAGATCCTGACTTTGTAGGATTCTTCATCTCTAAAACACTCATGGTGCCCATTCAGGTCCCAGTTTTATGTGACAATAATAAGGGCAGTGACATGAATACCAATGACTGCTGACATTTACTGAACATTTGCTTTGTGTCAGGCATTCTGTTTGCTTTCTGTACCTTCACATATCTCATCCTAACAATTTTATCCTCTGTACAGTGGATCAACTGAGGGAGGGGGAGATTCTGAGTGTCCTGAAGGTCACATGACCCGAGAAACGTTGAGAGAACTGCAGTGAGTCCAGTTCACACCTCTGCTGTCCTGAACCTGTGTTTATGATCTGTGTGCCACTTTAGACTCCTTTGAGCTTAGGCTACAGGGGTACAAGAGTTCCTTCACTGGTCTCCTGACCACCTTTGACCTTTGCTTAAATACCTTCCCCAAATGACCCTCTTGGATACATGTTTAGCACATTACCTCGATTCCTTCCGTTAATACGTATTTTCAAGGTTTTATTGATAACATGTAAGTTTTTATGGCATCATAACTGCTTAAGGTGAAGACAAGATTTCTGTATATTAACTTTTAAGTGATGTTGTGATACTTTGGACACTAAAGCAGAGATAGCAATGCTTTTTCTAGTTGCACCTCAGTTTATTTTAGCAGGCTGAGATGTTTATGGTAAGACCTATCAGCATTATCTTTGTGAGTTCTAAAGTGCTTCGCTATCAACCCAGATTTCTTAGTAGATGAAATCTTTTATCTTTGAAGTATTGAGATATCTTAATATTTAAAGGAATGTTTGTTAAAATAGCTCAAGTTTTCTGCTGTATTTTATCGTATGTGGTAGTATAAACAAAAATTGTTATAGGCAAAGAGACAATATAGAAACCATTGTTCATTTTTCTGTTAGCTGGTTCTAAATACTCTACAATGCTTTCATCCACTTGAATGGTGTTACACAGTCTTGATATGTTTGATGCTATAGCATATGAAGTTATATTCAAATATTTCAAAGAAAAAGACACTATGGTAACTACTATTAAGTCGGGTTATTTGGTGGTGAAGCACTAGGTTGCTGAAAGTGTCGTGCTTTAACCTGTGTTGTTGTTATGCCCCCTTTTATCTCATCCTCTCCCTTATTCATTAAAAATTATTTAATTAAAAAATATCAAACAATAAAAAATGCTGCTGGGTCTGTAGAGAAAAAGGAACCCTTTTCAACTGTTGGTTAGAGAGTAGACTAGTACAAACACTGTGGAAATCAGTGTGGAGATTCCTCAAAAAATTAGGATTAGACGTCCCATTCAACCCAGGTATTCCCCTTCTGTGTATCTTCCCAGAAGGATTGAAAAACATCACACCACAGTGACATATGTGCAACCATAAGGTTCAAAATATACAATAGTCACTGTGAAATGGGAGGAAACTGTTCAATAAAAAGAAGAAACTAAGATAGGAGAAAAGAGAAAGGATAGAAGGGAAAAGAAAAAAGTGCAAGTTAGTTATACCATTAATGTCACTTAGTTCACTGAATAGGAAAGGTTGTGCTAATGTTGATTGAAGAAATTTTTATGCCCATATTTTGTACTTGAGTGACTAAAGATAATGATGTATAATTTATCAACAATTGTTACTTTTTTATTATTTTGTTGTGGAAATTTGTTTTACCTTTTCTTCTTAATATTAACAAAGTAAAAATAAAATAGCTCAAGTTTTCAACTTGTAGGATCTACTTTTTAAAAACTTTTCCCTGTAGTTTCAACTTGATAACAGAAACTACACAGAGCTTGAAAAGAAAAGTATTTTTTTAGAAGAAGCAACTAAACTTCCTAGGTATACTGCAATGCTGCTTGAAAAATAACTTGGAGCAAGCTCTGTGATTGGAAATGGAGTGCCCAGGTCATATTCTGCTTTAAGGGATAAGAAATACAGATAAGTTACCACAAAAATCCTCTTCCTTTTAAAATAATATTCACTCATTCTGAGTCTCCCTGAATATTAGCTATCGTTCTTGCCTCTCTCCAGTTTCTAATTAAGGATCCTGGCTCTGTAACTGGAGAACCTCAGGCGAAAGCAAATCTCCCTTAACAGGATAGCCCATAGAGTGTTCTTCACAAAGTACCCTTATTTCTCAATTCTCTTAAAGAATGAGATTCCAGTCCTTTCAACTACCTGGCTATTTCCCATGATTTCCAAACTTTTACCATCCAGATGGTAAAATCTATTTTGCACTCAGGCAGACTATCTTTGTGATACAAATGTATATGCTAGAATTATCATCATAAAAATACCTGAACAGCAGCTATACTTACATCTTGCATAATGAAGCAGTCAGGCTTTGGTGTATTCCAAGACAACTGTTAAAGAGATTTTTAAGTTTGGGAGCTGTTTGAACAACAGGTATGGAATTGTATTCCTCCTGAGAGGTAGGTTACTGTTTTTAATCTTGGAAATCCACTGCTATTTCTGTACTGTGTGATTTCCATTACAGATACAAGATACCAGGGTATTATGACTGTTGTGAATATTCACTGTTATAATTAACCCCCAGCACTCTCAATGCATGTAAAGACTGAATCTAATTTGGGAGGAATCACAGAGAGGGAAGTCCAAATCATTGCCAACAGTTTGGAGCTGGTTTTCAGACCCTAGGAAAACTATCATTATTGTGATTACACTTGAGGTTCTGAGATGTCTGAGCATAATACCAACAGTATTTTGCAAAGCCTTTCTTCTTCATCTTTATTTCTGAGAAGTGCTCACATCATAAACACAGATAACATGTAAAGGTTATTTTCAGTGCTCCTTAGCTGTTGACAAACCACTGTACACATCGCCTCTGGCTGGGCAACTCTTGTTTAAACAGCAGCCTTTCTTAAGGCTGAACAGGAGCCCTGTAGTTGCCTAGGGCTGGCGGCTTGAGGGAAAAGATGGCAAGAATAATGGTATTCTGGGTGCTAGAATGTTCCAGAATGTTCTGTGCAGACAGAATAAATGAGGGAGCAGAACGACAGGGAAGGGTTCTGCTTGTCAGGACTAGAAGATGATAGCAGTGACTCCTGATTATGGTCTCATGACACTGATGTAAAGGAGATTCACAGGTTCCTCCAAAGGGCAAGTATTCATAGAATGCTGACTCTGTACTACTACATGATGTTATAAGTTGTCTTTAACTTTCAAATCTGCAGTGCAAGGTAAGAACTGTTACTTTTACTGTTACTTCTACTTTGCTGCAATTCTTAGAGGTTGAACTTTCCTACAATCATGAAGTTGACGTGGGATGGAACCAGGGTTATGACACTTTGGGCCTGCCTTTTTATCGTTATCATGGTGTCTTTTAATGAATAGATTTTAATTTTAAAATAATAAAAAATTTAAGGACTTTATGATTAATGCTTTCTTTGTCTTATTCTAAAAATCCTATCCTACACTGAAAAATGAAGGTAGATAATTCCTTATCTTAGATGGTTTTATACTTTTGCCTTTTATGTTTAAGTATAATCCATCAGGAATTGATTTCTGTTTTAGGTATGGCAACTTAATTTTACTCGGTATGGGTACCTGCCTGTCCTGGCAGCTGTGTTGTAGATTAAGCACCCATATCAATGTAGGTCTGTGTTCTGTTTCTGAACTGTATGCTGTCCCACTATCTTAATTTTTATAGCTTTAGAATAAGCCTTTGAAATTGATATAAAACTCTTCTCCTCTATTCTTGAAAAGTGAGTTGGCTATTCTTGGCCCTTTGCATTTCCATATAAATTTTAGAAACAACTTGTCAAATTTCACACACACCAGTCCATTTTGCATTACTAAAAGGAAATATTGGAGGCAGGGTAAGTTTACAAATAAAAGGGCTTTATTTATCTAGCAGTTTGAGAAGTGAGCTGATGGTGCTGGCATCTGCTCAGCTCTGGTGAGGACCTTTCCAGTTATGTTATATGTTAGTAGAGGTGTATGTGTGAGGAAACACCCCTATCTCTGCAGGAAGCAGAGAGAATTAAAGGTCACTTCAGGCTTTTATAACCACTCATTATCCTGAGAACTCAGTCCATGAGACTAGGGTGCCCTTAGGAGGGCAGTGCCCTGGGTGGTCTAAGGACTTCCCACCAGGCTCTGCCTATTAACAGTTCTATCAGTTCCCACATGCCATAATGGGACCAAACTCCCAACCAACACATTGAACTTAGGGTACAAACCATGTCTTACTTAATTATTTCTCATTGCTGGGACAAGATACCCAACACCCAAAGTTGAGGAAATAAAGATTTGTTTATCTCACAGTTTGTGGAGGTTTCTGTTCATAATCAGCTTGCTCCAATCAGGGTGGCACATGGCAGAGAGACAATAGTCCTAGGCTGCAGAAGACAGTAAAAGCAGAAGAGTGGAGGGAAACTCTTCCCTCATATTGTTTGCAGGCCACCCACTCTCAGGTGGCTGTAGCACTCACACCATTTCCACACCCTCTTCTTGCACAGGCTCAGGATGTTTACAAAGTGAAGACCCTGGCCCCCTGCTGAGTCACTTAGTTAAACTTCTAAACTTCTCAAGTTGACACAATGAACCATATTCTAGAGTGGTAAGGGCATGTCCTCTACACGTAAGGATGTGGAACTGCTGAGTTACTTGGTTAAACTTCTAGCCTTCTCAGGTCAACACAATATATCAACCATTACAAACCACATCTGAATCATAGCACACACATGTTCATACATGCACACACAGATGCACATTGGATTGGATTTGGAAGTTGACATGTTGATCAATTCAGAAAGGATATCTTTTCTGTAAGTACACCAAAGTTTTATTAATTTTCCGATGTGTGATACTTTGCTATTATAAATACATTTTATATTACCTATTGCCTGTTACTATTATGTAGATGTGCAATTTGCTTTTTTGTTGTGGTAAAATACACACATCAAACTGATGGGTTTCAACCATTTGAAAGTATACAAGGCAGTGGCATTTATTTTGATTGCAATATTCTATAGCTGTCACTGCCATGTAATTCATTTCTATGTTTAATTTTGCTCTCAGCAGCTTGTTTTATCTCTTATTTTACTAATTTTATCTGTGGATTCCTTTGGATTTTCTTTGTATCTATAAAGAATTACCACTTTTGATCTAATTCTTACCTCTTTAATTTCTTTTTCATGCCCAGATGAGAATTTGATTACACAAGTAAAAGGATTAGCACAAGGTTCAGCAGAGGCCAGTGCATCTGGGGTTCCAAGATAGTCCTATGATCAGTGATTTATTAAAAGGACTCATGAGACTCAGCACATGGTTGTACTCGTGACTAACATTTATTATATCAAAAGAGCAAATGCTACATTGGTAAAAAGCGAAGTCCAAAGAAACCCTGGTGTACTCTCCTAGGTGCCATCTCCCTGTGGAATCACCAGGGTCATTAACATGAGGATTGCTCCTTGGAGACTCAGTGCTGAGACTCTTCCTCAGAAGCTGGTAGGCACCTTCTGCCTTGTATGTACTACATTTCTACAATTCGGTTCTACAGAGGGACAGCACAAAGCATGGCCCTGATCACATTGTCAGCCACAGCAGGCCACGTTTACTGCATAGAGACTGTTTGATGTCAGCAGAGAGAACTGTTGATCAGCCTTAGCCCCTTTGGAGACCTTTGTAAAGGTAGCCCTCTCTGGGCCTTATGGGTACTCTGAACAGTAAGCCACCAACCTTGTGTTTTGATGTGCATTTATGCTCCACAGTGTCATCACTGAAGCTATATATTTTGTACATTTAAAGCAGAGAAGGCTGCATATCACTGCATAGAGATATCTGGGAAGAAGGTGTGTTCTGCCTTGGGAAACAGTTGTTTATCTGGAGTACTGGATTCCCCTTTCTTCTCTACCTTCTCCTTGACATTATTTTATTATTATTATTATTTTGAACGTAGTAAAGTGCAACAGAACAAGACAGGATAAAGCCAACTGAGACAGTGTAATGAAATTGGTGCAGAACTTCACAGCAGGTTACAGGGATAACAGTAATAGGTATCACAGTATATTTCATTATCTTTACAATAGTTGTTCTTTCAATCATGTATATCAAAATATAATGAAATACAGAACATTATAGAACTTATCAAAACAGAATATTGAATAGAGCAGTACCATTAATCAGAATAAAGCAAAACAGTAATAAAAATATTTGCCTTCAAAGAGATGGTAGAAGGAAATCCCCTTTATTTGCTATGGTCAACCTTCCAAAAGATGCTCACATTTGTGGTTCCCATTTGCTAATGGGGGGACACGGGAGCGAGGTAGGGGAAATGGGAAATGTTTGACTCTAGGCCATGCACCAGTAGATTCACTATTGCTTAGCAGGGAGGCGAGCTGGTTGCTTGGTTTCCTAGCTTCCTAAGTTTCAGCACGGTGTGGATCTCAGGAGACTCTGGTGGTTCTCACCCTAGAGGGGCCATAGTCTGCCACACCGCAGCCACTTACCAGGGAGGTGAGCTGCTTGCTTGGTTTCCCAGGGTCCTAAGTTCCAACAAGGTGTGGATCTCCAGAGACAATGGTGGTTCTCCCCCTGGAAGGGCCACAGTCCTCCTTGACATTCTTTTTGTGCATCTTCAGTTCTACCTTTTTCACCTGTTCAAAAGCCCTTGCTGATTTCTTCTTTCCCCAATAGCACTCACGGTGTTGAAACCAGGAGACAGACAAATGGTAGATAAGAGAGTACCCTGAGTAAACAGACATGAGTGCTGGGAAAATTGGAACACAAAGGAATTGGACTCACTGAAAGGGCTACAGGAGAAATCTGTCCTCCTAATGTCAGAGGACTAGCTAATAAGGGCAAGTACATGGTTTCAAAGAACAAGGGCCTAGGTCAACTGTGATCAACCCTGGGAAGTTGGGGTATAAGGGACACCTACTCTTCCTGACCCCAGAAGCTTAACAAAAGTGGCAACCTCACTGTTTCATCATCTTATTTTCACACACTGACCAAAGTAGCCTAACATTGCGCATAAACCCCTGAACTTGGGTGTTTCCTTCGTGTCCTCCCTTGCAGCCCATCTTGCCTTGTGAAAGCTGTTCTTTGTGTTTTGCTAATACACTATACTTGGGTTGCTTCCCACTTCTGTGTCTGTGGACTTCATACTTTATCATTTTCAGGGCAAGAGCCCAGTGTAGGGAAAGAGTGAGCTACAGTATATAGATGCAATCATGGTCCTTAAGAATATGTGACTTGAGGTTCTCTATGTTTAGCAGTACCTCAGTTCATGAAGTTAATTCACTCCATGATTCTGGAAAAAAGATGGCCACGTTCATATTCGTGTTCATGTGGGAAAAATGGGCACAGTCCTGCTTGTCATTAGATGCAGAGTTTGCAAACAAAAACAAAATTTTGCCAAATACTTCTGTTTATGAACCAAATTCTTCACAAACAAAAGTGTTCTTGGACAGAAGTATACCACTCTACAGAACTATATAGGTTTCTTCAGCAAAAAATTAAAAACCTACAAAATTAAATGCCCACAGGGGCTGAGCAAAGTACAGGAACGGGAGGAAGTGTTTCAAGAACAATGGAGGATTTGTTTCCTAGGGACAATCAAGCCTTCTTCCCAACAAAAGGTGAAAGCCAGGTGGATTTTTGCCTAAGGACTTTAGCTTGGAGTTCTGAATTAGACTGATTTTGATTTTGTTTTTACACCAGAGATCATCTCTAACATAATCACATAGTTCTTCTGATTGAACAATATGATTTTTTAATTTACTCAGCAACTCTTTGTTCAGTACAGCTGTAAACCAATGATACACGATGAAAAAGACAAACTGTTGGCCTCCAAAGCACCAGCTGTATAGGAAGTCAGGCCAAACCTGAGACAGTTAGGTGATGGTGTAGTAGATTGCACATCAGCGCACAGTGCTGCTCTCGGGAGTTACCGGGAACCTCATCTTCGCACTGACTTCTGTATCTGCCTGCCATAGTTCCTGGAACACAGTGGCAATGAACATATATACCTGCCAAATAAATGAATGAACATTACAAAATAATTCAACTGCATATCAGAATCACTCTGGGACTTTATAAAAACACAGCTCACTGGGTGCAGCTTCAGTCCCAGTGAATAAAAGTTGCCAGGAAAGCAACCCAAGGATGTTTGTGTCATCTACAGAGCTTGCTCTGTGACCATGATATTGGGACTCACTGGCTAATGAGGTTCTGCCTGGCTGTTTTATTCTCCCTATTGCTGAGAGAACGAGGTGTAGGCAGTAGGGGCAGGTTCCTGTGGGAGGGGAGGTTGAGGGGCCAAGCTTTGCTGTGCGCCACTCTTATAGTCTAAATGCCTTGCCAAACCATGGCAGGCTGCACTGTGTGAAGCACCAGAGCCTGATGAGCCACACTGAAGAGTCAGACCTTGTTCAGGGTCACTCTCATTGTTCTTGGCCCTGCCTATGTGACTTTGCCTGCTGTATCATTTCATTGTCCCCTCAAAATTTCTTAGCTTAGCAGAGGCCCTCAGGTGACTTCTCCAGCCATCTGCACATTAGCAGACCTCTGTAGCACTTTTTAATGCTTTAGTCATCCTTGCATCAGAATCTTGCTTCTATAAAGTTCTAAGCTACATCAGGTCAGGGCAATCTCTTGTTTTTACCTCTGCAATGAATAGATATCACCTGTTAACATTAGCTGAATAAATAAGCAATGTGTTGAATCTCTTTGGAACTTAATTTTAAATGATGTGATATTAGTTTCTCTTTACCCCTTTAGTTGTAGAAGAAAGCAAGTTGAAAAACTGGAAGTAGACCCTGGCAAGTACTCATTCCCTGATGTGACATCCATAGTTCAAGAGAACAAGCACACATCCAGAAGACTGCGATCTGAACCCCAAATTGTATCAAATGAGGAAGACCCAGCCTTTGAAGATAATCCTGAAGTCCCTCCACTGATGTGAAGCACGAGGCTGTGGTGGTGTTTCTGTGACCTACTACTCAATGCAGGGAGTAGTTGCATGACATTTATAGGATAAACAGATTCATCCTTGTTATCACTTTAATGCTTTTCCTTCTCCTTTGCATAGTAACATTCCTAAGTGAATTTAAAATTAAAACGTATAACATAAATGTGCTGTAACTCATTATTTGTCTATAATGAAAGAACCACTGGTGAAAATACTCAGTAAAAGGATAGAACAATTGCAAGAAACTGATTCTAAATCATAGAACTGCCTGTTTATGAAAGATTAAGTCATAGGTAAGAGGACTGGTTATTAAATTGGCGCCTGAGCAAACTGGTCAAGTTGAGAAGTTCAAATCATAATTTCAGACCAGTTGGAACTCTGTAATGTGATTTAAACATGGCTCCAGTTTTTCTTGTGGCAAGTCTGCTTTCTCAGGTGCCATGGTGTAAAGGCAAGGTAGGAGTTTTGGCACAGCACACCCAATTGTGGGGCCTCACTGAGTCACTGTGAAGACTTTTGCAGGTCCTTCCCCTGCCAGCCCTTAGTGGCTTCATGTCTGATAGGGAGTCGTTCATAAGCTTGTGCCCATATCTCCTGTGGAAAGCACCTAGTCCATCATCAGAGCCCTTCTCTTCCCTCTCCATTTCTTCCTCTCCTCCTCTTCCTTTATCTCATTTATTTTTTTCCCTTCTCTTTCCTCACCTTTTTCCTCCCTACCATACTCTTCTATCTTCTTTAACTTTTTTTAAATCTCTGTGCTGCATCTCTTTCTAGAACTCTATGAATTCAGTATCCTGCATACCAAGCAGAACCATTTTTGCTCTGGTCAGGTTACATCAACATGTGAGTCAGCCTTTCCCAGCTATTGATGCAGTCTACAGTCCTGAGGGCTGCAGTTGTTCATCGGGGACCCTGTGCGGCCATGGCTTGGAAATGCTTTGCGTGTGGGACCCAAAAGGTCCATGTGTTGGGACCTTGGTCCCTGAAGTGTGGCTCCTGGGAGACAGTGGAGCCTTTATGAGATAGGGTACAGTAGGAAGTCCTAGGCAACTGGGGTGCTCCCCTCAGAGGGGTCTCTTGGAGTGAGTCCCCTCGACAAGAAGCTTTTGTAGAAGCCTGAACCTACCCCCTGTGCCATCTCTAGGTCCCTGTTTTGAGAAGTGACCCCTTCTTCATGCATGTGTCCCAGCCATGATGTAATACCATCTACTCTGGGGCCCTCATCAGGGGCCAAACCACTGGGGCTGCCCAACCTTAGATTTTGATCTTCCAAAACTGTGAGCTAAAGAAGCCTTTTTTCTTTACAAAGTTAGCCTCCCTCCTGTATTCCTTTGTAGAAAGCAAGTGAAGAGAGTTGGCAATGAGGTATTTACAGGTCATACTCCTGGCAAAGGGACCCCCACATCCTCTCCTTTTCAGCGTCCCTCACCATTTCAGCCA